AAAGAAAAGAAAAGAAAAGAAAAGAAAAGAAAAGAAAAGAAAAGAAAAGAAAAGAAAAGAAAAGAAAAGAAAAGAAAAGAAAAGAAAAGAAAAGATGACATGGTTATTAGCACTTTATCTAAGCCATTTCACCATTTTAGTGGGCTTTATTTATTTAAATCTACTTCATTCTGAAAGGATTCAGAGGCCTTCCACTGCAGTAAGATTGAAAACACAGATGTCAGAACAAGCAGAAAGACTAAAACAATCAAATTTCAGCACACAAAAAGGCAGAATATAAAGTCTGGCAGAGCTCCTTAAAGGTGACCAGGATCCAGAGCCACAGAGAACAGAGCAAAGGAGAAAGGATCACTTTAAAAATTCCCAGACCTTTCAGATAAACATAACAACAATCAGTGGAAACAGCTTTTCTTGGCACCAAGGACAAAAGAAAGTTCTCCAGCAGAAGCTCAGAAAGAGGACCCTGGTGAAGTGGCTTAGACAAAGTGCTATTAACCATGTCATCTTTCTTTTCTTTCTTTCTTTTTTGAGGCAGGTGGTTTTCTTTCTTTGATTGTGGTAAAATATATATAACCTAAATTTCAAATTTAAACCATTTATTGGTTACACAAATCAGTGACAAATGCATACACTACAGTGTTTGCTGTACACTCTCAGCACTGTGTCTGCCATAAACAAAGTACAGGATTATTACTGCTTCCATTGCTTCATGGAAGGACATCACACTGCAGAGGGGAAGGGAGTCCCATGAGAAATGTCTTTACATTCCAAAGCTTAATTTGATTCTCGAAACATTATGAGATAGATATTATTATTTCTTTTCTACAGATAAGGACTGAGATGTACAGAAAGGAAGCACCTTGCTCAGTTAACAGAATAGCAGATGGCAGAGCTAAAATTAGATTCCAATCTTTGGGCACTGATGTGTGTATGGGGAGAAGGGGGAGCTCTGGAAAGGGGAGAGTCTTTTTTTTTTTTTTTTTAACATAACAGTTCAACAGCAAGCCTCCTGTGAAAAGTCACTACAACCTAAAAGAGAATCATACAGAATGAGTTCCTGAGGGTAGACAATTAGGGAAAGAAAAAAATGAACCCCGACTTAATTATGAGTAAAAATTTTAGATATTCAACAGTCATTTTCTACCAGTACTTAATAAAATCAGCTCTGGTAGAAATACCACAACAGGTGATAGCCCATAAATGTAATAGTCTTTAGATTACTGAATTAGAAGAGAAAATATACACAAGAGACCCCTCAGCAAAAAGCAGCCCAAGCATCTTTAGAGAAACAAATAAAGGTAAACTCAATCTCACTTTGTAATTATATTATTAAATCTGAGGTTGGCAGTATTACTGTGCTATAACATCCAAATTTGCATAAGCATTTATAAGATACAATGAACTGAAATTGCTCAAAGACTAAAGAGGAGAAATAGAAAACAATAAAAGAAAAACTTGAAACGTCATGAAGTATCATTTTATATTTACACTTAATTTTATATTTCCATTAATGATTTAAAGCAAATACATTACATATAATGATGTAAATGTATCCCCAGGATAAGTAGATGAACTGACATCTGGTAGGTAAAACCATAAAAATAAAGTAAAACAGATTTAATTCAATTAGTAATAATGCAATAACTGTATCTTTTTATAAAACAGTAAGTTTCCATGTAAATAAATAACTTACTAATTTGAGGACAATGTTATAGTAATATAGATTGGCCCTCCCATTAGAAATCTTGAAACTTCCCCAATTGGGAAACATAGGAATGAGATGCACCTTGGGAAACCTTTGTTTGCTTACAAAAGCACCTGAACAAAGGAGCTTTTCCTGTTGCATATAAGAATCACAAAAGAACAACAACTGACACAACACACCTGACCAATACCTAATGTGACCCAGACTCACAGCTAAGCACAAAGGCGAAAGCTTATACAGCTGTAGAAGGCTAAATAAACAGTGAGTAAAAAGTGGGCAGCAAATGATGACAAAGTTTCTGAACTGCAGTCATAGGACATAAAGAGAGGTCAGTAAGATATGAGCCGGTGCCCTGAACAATACCATGCAAAGAAAAGTCTTTCTGTAAAATGTTTATAAGCAAAGTCCACCTGGAATAGACATATTCATTTTAAAAATGCTAAACTAAATGAAATAAATCAACCTGCCTTAAGGAAAGAGGAAAATGTTAAAGCTCTCCAAACACCTGTCAGATACAGCTTTCCCAAGGGTGGGCCTTAGGTCACTAGTATAAGATGGGAAAGAACATGACACAGAAAGCCCCAAGACAGCAGCCCTGAGCTACTCCTCACAAAGCAGGGAGCAATTCCTTATATTTAATCTAAACAAACTGTTTCAAAGGCAAAGAGGTAAATGTGATTCTGCTAATCTCAACACATTTATTCCAATATTTGAAGGCAGCAGCAGAAACACCTCTGAATAAAGAAAGGCAACTTCAT